AAAACTGGGATAAGTACAATTTTAGACTTGTTATAACTGAGATAAGTACAATTTTAGACTTGTTCTTTATCTGTCCCTCAAATAGATTCAATGTACCGGGTTAGCTTTTTATACATTGATAGGTTGGGCGCTGCTGGATATTTAAAAGTAGGAAGTAACGAGGTTATGTTATCGCTAAATTAGGGACCTATGTATATACATATATATATATATGAGGCTAACCTCAGCCACAGAGACGGAAGGATGAGATCGTCGTTTCATTAAACATAAATATAAGTACTCGTACATTTAACAGTTACATAATTAACTATCTGTTACTGAGACTGTATAAACACGCAGAGTGTTTAGCGTAGCAGCTGGTAAAATGAATGGTAGGGCTCATAAAACAGTTGGTGCTTTAGCACAGTAACGTTTTCTAGCTAGGTTTATGTTTTCATTTTTTCTTCCTTTTATAGCTCAACTCCGATGAAGACTGCATGATATTCAAATACACCTGTATATGCTTAGATCATATTTGAATTATTTAGTTAGGCATAAGAGGTTTGGCTGAGTGGACACAAGTAGGTGGCTATTTAGGTTAAGTATGGAAAAAACAGCTTAGATAGACTCAGAGGTCAGACTTATATTTAAATTGTTTTCCCCTACTGTATCAATATTCAAACACCTATATATAAGCTACAATGATGCATATTTGTCAATTTTTCTGAACGGCAGTAGAGTTTTTGTTGTTGTTTTTAGTCATATAAAAATGGGAGTATAATTAAATAAAATTGTCAAGTACATTTAAACTAGGAGAAAAAAATTTGCAATTTTGATATTAACAAAAATAAAGTTTACTTTAGGAATGTTTGATTGGACAAATATAAAAGACGTCATCTAAAGTGCAGAATCCGGGATCGTTTCAGTTTACTTTAGGAATGTTTGATTGGACAAATATAAGAGACGTCATCTAAAGTGCAGAATCCGGGATCGTTTCAGTTTACTTTAGGAATGTTTGATTGGACAAATGATATTTCACGTGAAAATCTTTTCGGACTGAAACAAATAAATTAATCCGATTTTGGTCGTAAAAGTAAACTTGATCTGATTTTTAGATTTTTAGCGCTATAAGCCTCCGCACTTACTGCTGAGAC